TTTGATACACGATACCCTGTTGGGGCAACTTAATGGCTGCACTTTGTTCTGCACTATGTTCCAACACTTTAAGACAAATGGATTTGTTGTGTTTTCATATTCAAGAGATTATAAGCTAGATGCAACATTTTGGGGGGTTTGCATCGAATGTTCTTCGACTTTTATTTATAATAAATTTGTTTATGAATAAAGATTGATCTGTTGAAAGCAGTTATTTTGAGTTAGATGCCAAAAATATTTTCTTCATTCTGTTTATTTGTATTTATTTATTTTCATTTAACTTACACACCTCTAAGAATGAAAATATCTGCATGTTCAATAATAAGTAATAATAATAATTCAATAATAAACAAACAATCATGGGTGTAGCCTACACATAATAATTATTTAAATAATCATATATTTTAAAACGAATATCATTAATTTCATTAATATCAAGGACTTTTCTCAGGGTTAATCCGTTTGACCTAATCAATATGTGCCTTCATAAAATATGTGATATTTTACATATTTACATCACAAAGTAGTATGCAAATATGTTTATGTAAATGTATAAAACTACTTGTATCTTCACTGCAGTACTCCTTGTAGGCTACTTATACTAAAACTGCTTACGTAAGGGAAGGTTCACCCAAAAATGGAAATTGTGTCATCATTTAGTCACCCTCAAGTTGCAAACCTATGAGATTCTTTCTTCTGTTGAGCACAAAAGAAGATATTTTGCAGAATGTTTGTAACCAAACAATTTTCTTTCAGGTTAGATGCCAAATGCTCTCCTCCTATTCAAATTTGACATTTTGAAGGGGTGCATACAACATATTTGCCCACCGGCAACCGCACATTCAAATACGATTTTCAAGAAAAAAAGAAACTAAAACCTGGGGAAAATAAATGCAGAACATGTTCACATAGGACACTATTAACATGACTATATGCATGAAACCATTCAGAAAAATTTGGGCACAAATGGGTTAACCAATTTCACTTTGCATTGAAAAGATGATTCAATATGATGAAACAAGAATCTCCTTTCTCATTTTTGATAATTGCACTTCACTTAAAGCTGCAGTCTGTAACTTTTGGCGCTCTAGCAGTTAATAAACAGAACTGCATTCCTCTTGCGGAAGAACACTGTAGCTGAAGCTATTTCTCTCTGTTTATGTCTATGACTAGTCATGCAGGTACTGAGCAACTCCAGAACCAGTCTAAAATAGTCAGACTATAAAAACGTTTTATAGGTGTAGTGTAGTGATTCAGGATAAGCCAAAAACATGGTTTGGAAAATGGGTTGATGTACTCGTTATTATTATAGAAATCTTGTAAATTTTGAACACAAAGTTATGGACTGCAGCTTTAAGTATAATTTTTGAGTAGGCCTACTTTTTCACCCGGATGACACACTGTGCCACACTGCATCCACTGTAGATAAGGGGTTTATTGTCTTTTGTAGCATTGCGTCATGCTGGTTGCGTCCAGTACAGACATGGTGTTACTGTCCAGCCCAATTAGTCATACTTTCATAAGCCCTAATCCCTTGTCTCTTCACAACACGATATCTCAATTCTATGGAAGGATATTCCAGACTATTTTGAAAAGGAATTTTAAATTGCGGTTTGCATATGTGGACACATAAATTGTGACATAATCCAAACGCAATTGCAAATCTTGTATTACCGTTTGCGTTTTCACTTTCGCGAACGCACAGTTACTGCCAAATTCCAAATGAAAATGCAAAGCCCATTTGCAACTGTAGCCTATTTCCAATATCCTACGAGTTATGAGCCTGTCATAATTAAATACCAATAATAATTACTGCGTCTGCTTTTTTAACTCTCTCTGCGTTGCACATGTAACCTGCCAAAACTCAAATTGAATCGCAATTCATTTAGCATTTGAATTTCCGATGCCTTACAGGGAAACCTGTCAATCAGTTTCACAAAAGTTAGTTTGAAATATGAACGTAGATACTTGCATTTAACATGTTTCTATGTAGACCTATTTTACATTTATTTTTCTATATTTCATTTCATGCTGACACCAAAATGGTGACGTTTATTTATTTATTTAGAGTGTATTCATTACTCCAATATCATAATATAACTAAAATATCATAACTAAAATATTATGTAGTCATTATAATTTACTAAAAATGATCGTTCAACAAACAAATAGAAAAAGAAAATGCGCATTTTCGGTTTGTAGAATAACGAAACACAAAGTTAGCCTTGTTAAATTCTAATAATAAGCTTAATAATAATAATAATAAACTTACCCACCGCGAATAAGAAAATACTGACTGTAAGTGCGCTTTTCATATTGATGTGAATATAGGTGATCAATGCATTTATTAAAGTCCTTCCTTCTCTGATTGCTCGTCAGCGATCCGTTTTTGAGCTGCACCACTGATCTTCACAGAGAGGGAGTAAAATCTTTTCATGGCAGGGGGAGCTGCCACACAGTCTGGCACGGCTAGATGCGCCTGTCCCGGGACCAGTGGCGTAGTGGACGGCCACGATAACATTATTGACTCTGATTGCTCGTCAGCGATCCGTTTTTGAGCTGCACCCACTGATCTTCACAGAGAGGGAGTAAAATCTTTTCATGGCAGGGGGAGCTGCCACACAGCCTGGCACGGCTAGATGCGCCTGTCCCGGGACCAGTGGCGTAGTGGACGGCCACGATAACATTATTGACTTAATGTTCATAAAGATATGTACACAGATGATATGCTCTCTTACAAGAATGCTCTTCTAACCGCTAAATCTGATTACTAATCTAATATAACTGGGTTAGATGAAGGGAATACAAGGTCCTTGTTTAAATAATATCCTATAGCCTCCTGATACCCTTCCTTCTCATCTATATTCTAGTGATCTATGCGATAAATTAATGACCTTTTTTAATACTAAAACTGGAAATATTCATCAACAATTAACTTCTCAAAATAATGTGGCATCTGATCTGTTGTATTTACCTTCCAGTGATTCTCTTCTGTTTCTATTTTACAGTTTTAAACTTCCAACTATTGATGAAATATCAGGTCTTATCAAACAATCTAAGTCTTTCACTTGTCAGTTAGATCCACTCCCCACTCACCTGGTCAAAGTCTGTTTATTTTCTCTATCTGGTATAGTAACCGATTTTATACACTCGTCTCTCACCTCTGGAGTGGTTCCTTCATCTTTTAAGGTTGCTGTAATCACTCCAAGACTTAAGAAACCGGGAGCTGACCCTAATAATTTTGCTAACTTTTGCCCAATTTCCAATTTGCCCTTTCTCTCAAAAATTTGTTGCATCTCAGGTTCATTCCCATCTTTTAAAAAAATAGCCTGTTTGAAAAATTCCAATCCGGTTTCCGCCCTTTGCATAGTACAGAGACTGCCATGGTAAAAGTTGTTAATGATCTGCTGATGTCAGCCTATTCTGGACTTTTAACTATACTTGTTCTACTCGATTTAACCGCGGCCTTTGATACTATTTCTCATCAAGTTCTTTTAGATAGACTACTCTCTATAGGTATTACTGGTGTCCCTCTTAGTTGGTTCAGATCTTATCTCTCTGGGCACACTCAATTTGTTCAACTTAAAAATTTCAGATCATACGTTTTACCTGTTACAGCTGGTGTTCCTCAAGGCTCTGTTTTGGGCCCTTTTTTATTTATTATTTATTTACTACCCCTTGGTTACATTTTTAGGAAATATGGCATCAGTTTTCATTGCTATGCCGATGACACCCAGCTTTATTTGTCTTCTAAGCCAAATTCTACCCCTCTTTCTTCCTCTCTTTTGGGTTGCTTAGAAAATATTAAATCCTGGTTTTTGCGTAACTTTCTCAAGCTGAATATTGACAAAACAGAAGTTCTCCTTGTTGGTACCAAATCTAATTAGTCAAAATCCAATAGTTTCTGGGTACTCCGTAGTCTTACATATTAATGGACAGATTTAATCTTATTTAATCTTACATATGATAGTTGATGTGCTCAGATTATTTTTATTACTTAAACAATAGATAAAAACAAGATGTGGTTTTTATAATACTGATTAGGCGTCCATACAGATAATTTCCATGCCGCTTATACTATACTGGGTCACGAGTGTGCTGGATGATTACTGACGTACAGTGGGGTGATCAGATCACAGTAAAGAGGTTAGGGGAATGTTATAACGTTCTGGGAACCAAAAACGAACGGTAGGGGAACGTTATATCATGGGAACATTAGATTAATGTTAGAATAACATTATGGGAACGTTAGAATAATGTTCTGGGAATGCTAAGAAAACTTTCCTGGCTAACCAAAAACAAACCATAAAAAATAACGTTCTGGGAACCAAAAACTAACGTTCTGGGAACCAAAGATTGTTAGCTGGGTATGTAATTGGCAGCAGTATCATGAAGCCTCCCTGCTGGTAAGCTGCATTGATGATCGCTCTGTCTTATTAACTGAGTTTGGATTGTTTTCGAGCACAAAGCTGAACTTACACAAAAGATTATTATTTTTGTCTGTCAGCTTCTAGTCCTGTTAGAAGAGTCAAATATGTGTTATTTGTGACGATAAAATGAAGAGTGTGTGTATTAGCCTGCTTGTAAACTCTGAACCTCTGTTTATTTCATTTAAGACTGTCATGCGTCATCATTGAGCTGCAATTTAACCAACCTATGGTCCTGTTTGTCCCAGTTGCGTCTGCCAGGACAATAAAAAGCAGCCTTGAGTGACCACCCACCCCGACTCACAGTGTTCATCATTCCACCATCACCAACACAGTCACATAATTACCAGCTGGAGTGCCCATAAGGTCCCTTAGAGGGCATAAAAAATGGACTGGAATGCAGCTGTCGTCGTCTTTTTCTTCTTCTGTGGATTTATTGGCGGATCGCATATCAACGTTTTACACCGGACGCGACAGTTGTCGTGTCGCGCCGCGCCGCAAGAGCTAAAGTCTGTCTATAGGACCAGGGGTGGTTCTAGACCACAGTAACTGGGGGGACCAGACAGGGGCCACTTGTGCTTTTAGGGGGCACAATTTTAAAATTCATCTTAACCTACTTTAAGTATTATTCATTCAGTCATTTGTCACCATGTCATGTATCACTGCAATCTCTAGAAGTAATCTATAACAATTTCAACTAAAATGAATGTTTCATTATGTTTCATTTATTTCACAAATAATTTTGTATTGTAGTGTCGGGCATTTATGTGAATAAAAAACATTGCAAGTTAGGCTACTAATCACAACACTTTCATTGTACAGAAAGAGAGAGAAGAACATTTACAATATCAAAGAACATTTTCACTGAGAGTCTAGTTCAAGCTCTCAAAAAATCCCATTAAAATCACTGAAGGTGTTTACACTATGAAATTAATATCTTACAGATTCGTACACACATTTGCACTTTGTTGTTTCCAGTGATTGGGGGTAACGCATTACAAGTAACGCGAGTTACGTAATCAGATTACTTCTTTCAAGTAACTACTAAAGTAACACATTACTTTTTTAATTTACAAGAAAATATCTGAGTTACTTTTTCAAAAAAGTAACTCCAGTTACTTTGTTTTCCCATTTATTGACTGACAAGTCTCCTGTCCCCATACTTGTGTTGTGTGCGCTGTGTGAACATGATGTTACTGTAGTTCTAGACTAAATGTGAATGTGCATTAATTCATCCCACTCACAAAAAACAGATTTAGTATTCATCAAAATGAATTAAAACAGTGAACTGCAAACTCAGAATATGACGCAAACCTGCAATAATTAAATATGTTAAATAACACAAATGTATCTAATCCCATTTTATTAACCAATGTCTTTGCTGCTGACCTTTGATGATCCAGTTCAACCATACTAATAAGCACAAATGACTTTAGATAAACTAACAATTGTGCTTCATAAGAACATCTTAACTGGCAACACTGACACCATGGAATGTTTTCGCTTGAGTTAACTGCTTATTTAATTTTTAAGCTTCTGTAATGTTGTTTTAATTTCAGTTACATTACTGCTTGCTTTTAATTCACCAAAAAGTGTCTAAAAGTCTTTTGAAAAAGACCATGACTAGGACTATAATCTAGCATTCATAAAATGAAATAATTAAATTTAAGTATGTCATTTCCCACTGTACGTATGCAGGGCCGGCCCAGGCTCTGTTGGAGCCCTAGGCGAGATTTTAGATTTACTATACTATACTATACTATACTATAATAGAACATAAATACTGATATGTATTAACATAAATAAGTAATAAATAAATGGAGATGTTGAAGTGCCTTGTAAGTATTTTATTAATGAATCTAATAAAAATAGTAAAGTTTAAAAAAATCTGCATTTTCAGATTTTTTTTAGTGGAGGGTGGTGGGGGTCGGAAATCTAAAATCTCGCCTAGGGCACCAACATTCCCTGCGCAGCACTGTCGGGGATTTGTCGCCATCCAGTGTAGACAGCATCACTGATTATAATGAGTTCTATAGTATTTTGTCGCACTGCCCCACGCCGCTCGCGACCGGTGTCGACACGGTGTCAGTTGCATTCTGCCACCTCCTGTGCTGAAGTGTGAATTGATACCAGACTAGGTATCCATGAAGTGATCTATATTCTATTTTAATGTCTACTTTTCTTAATGAATTTTAAAATTGCTTTTATAATTATATCAGATCCTAAATATTGGAAAATTTCCATGAACCTCCCCTTCTGACACAATGTACACAATGACACCCCCAAGTCCCAAATCAGATTCCCTTCTTCACCCAGAAATGTACAAAAACACTGGTTGAGCTTTTTTTTTTTTTTTCCTTTTCAAAATTATTTTTAATGTCTGTGGAAATCATTATAATCTCAGCAGTTGGGTGAAAGCTGAGCTGGGTACAGAAAGAGAACCTCTACAGTACCTCACTACTTAAAAAAATATACTGAAATACTGAAAAGCTACATTATTTAAAAAACAATGATACTACCACCCTGCTACTAAATGTAGTTCAGCAGTTTGCTATGTACATGCACAGATTAATGCACCCTCTTAAATCTGAACCAGCAGGTGATGCTAATGAGCTAAAAAAAACTATATTATATTTGCTGGCGTATTATACATATATATAGGTCAGCAGCTGCATAACTTATAATAATACAGTAACACTAATAATAATACAAATAATAATAAGGATAATAAGATAATGCTAACAAGCCAATAATCACCAAGCAATGAAAGAAAACCCATGTAAAATAAGCCTATACTCTTAAAACAACCTGACTATTTCTTATTTAAAATAAATGAAATGAATATTATTATTATTCAAAATATAACTGACAACTGAGCCAGTTGTGTGAATGAAAAAATGTTCTGGCAAAGGGTGGATACACTAACAAAGTCAGAATACATGATTCATCTGTGAGCATCCGATGATGATGATGTCTGTTATGATCTATCCTTTTTCAAATTGGATGTGATGTCATACACCACAATAAATGCAGCAGCCACACCCACCAGAACAGAGATGACCAATCGGGTCACAGCTTCAGGAACATGACAACAGAAGGTACAATCTGAGGAAATAAAAAAATAACATGAAACAGGACAGTACATTTGAACAAGACCAACATTTCTTTTGAGGAGGACAATGTCATGGTCACTGGAGTTAAGGGAGTTGCAGGGGTGTGAATCTTAGTGCAGCTTAAATTCTGCCAAACTATGTGTTAAGTCTGCTTATAAGCAGTAAGGGCCTTAAGTTGTTGCCTGAAATTAAAAAATAACCCTATTATATTCAACACGGTCAAAGTATGGCAGGACATTAAATAAATTCCAGAGTGAAACTGGAACTTTCATGCATTGTTTTTGGCATTATCCAGTTCTAGAATGGGGTGGCATGGAAGATGGATAATAATTTTAAAATAACATTTAATAAGGACCCTAAATACACTGTTAGACATTTCAAAGGGTGTTTACAGTAACTTACTGGCAACACTGTTGGTAGTAAGTTACTGTAATTAAGATTGACAGTAGCAAACTGTATTTGATTTACGGTAGCAAACTGTACAGTATACAGTATACTGTATACAGTAATTCATTCATTTTAATATAGATTACATTTGATTTTATAATTTTTATATAGAATTCATTTTATTTTTATGCTACATAGGTACTACTGGCATGCAATTAAAACAGACACAATAATTACAAAATATCAAATTCTTTATTTAAAACATTGCATGCATAACACTTAAAAATTCAGTCTTCCAATGCTGGAAGAGTGCATCTTCACCATTTCTCCTGTCTTAGGACGTTTTGCAGTGCATTATGTTGTATCATCTGTATTTATCCTTACAAAGAATCTTTAGGCAGCAGAAAAAACATACATAGCCATCTGCAAAACCCAGTTGCTGCTCCAAAACGTGGTCATCACCTTTGCTCACCATTCACTTTGTTAGTGACAGAAATGTGTTTCCTGAAAAAACAAGTAGTAGAAATGACACTTTCAAAAGGCAAACCCCATATATAATACACAAACCTCTCAAATAGTTGTTCTCTTATCATGAATTATTAGTCTCAGGGTGGCTGGCATGCTCATGTCTTTCTTGATGCTTCATTGCAGTTGCCTTTAAAACACAAATTCAAAAAAATGCAGTAAATCTTAAATTCCATTAAAAACTATAACAAACAAATTCTAAAACAAGAAAGGCAGCCATAAAACTAACTA